GTAACCACTCCCAGGAAAGACTTTCTAGATTTGTCATCTCTTCAGAGTGGTGAAAGAGTTTTGTTGTCGTCTGGTGTTCATTTTTTTTTTTTTTAGTACTGGAGGGTGTTTTGTTTGTTAGATAAACAGGTTCTTTTCCATTTCTCTCTGAGAAAATTCTTCCCAAATCAAGAGAGGGGCCATGGAAGTTTGTTTTCTGGGAGCTCCTTCCAAAAGTTTTTCTCCCAAATTTACCTCAAGCTAAAACATATGGCATCCTGCTGGCACTGTGGTAAGAAGTCAGCTGCCACATCAGTGAGTTCTGAGAGCCATATAATACTGGTTTTCTGTAGTTTCTGTACTGATTTGTTACAACCCTTTTAGAATCAGGTAGTTTACATGAAAATTGCAGTTTTCAGCTTTAAAATGAAACCAAACCTCCAGTTTTTATGAGTGTAGAGACAAACAGGAGATATGATGTCAGTTTATAAGCCAAGACCAACTGAAAACTATCCTCTTTTCCTCCTCTGGTACTGACTGAGTATTTAAGCCCCTTTTTTCCCTTGTCCTTTAAAAATACTGAACTCCGCTCCAGAAGTTTGGCTGAAGTTGGAGGTATTAGGTAAGAAATTCTAGATGGATACATATTTTCTGAAATTCTGTTCTAATTGTCTCTGTTTCACAATACTTCTACTTATTTTGTTTCTTCAAATTAGGTCCTTGCCAATTTTTTAGTGTCAGTTTCTTGCTCACTTGGGCTCTGTTCTTGCTGTTTCAGGTTGGAGCCCTATTATTAACATTTGTTCTGCTTTCCATCTCCTTCATTTTGAGTCTGGCAGCCTGGTTCTTGTATAGTTGAGATGATTAGTCTGAATTTCTTTGCTTAGAAATATTTATTTGATTTCTCATTGAAGAGTGTAAAATAAATGTGTAGTGTAGTTGAGTGTAGTTGAGAGAAGTATTTTTTGACAGCTACTGTAGAAACTTGTCCTGTTTGACAGACTACATGAATTTATTCTCAGATTTAATTTGTAATTATGTTTTTGGGCAACAAAAAGTGGAAGTAAGGAACTGTGGTGAAGATATGCTGGGAAAAGACAGTAGGGTATGTCAAAACACAGTGGACTGTAAGAGAAATGCTGGATTCTGGGTGTTATTTTTGACTGTGTTAACCTTGATTTAGCTGGAGATTGTGCTTGAGGTTTATATCAGCTGTAAAGGCTGCCTTGACATTTAATGCACTGAGCTTTTTCAAGTGAGTGACTTTCACACAAATGTTTTCCCATAGTTATGTTAGATTGGTGATGATCTTGTCTTACTGTGTAAAATGCTACGCTCTACTATTTAGCATATCTGCTGGATAATCCAGTGTTTTTTACTGGAAGAAAATTACTGTGGCCATCATGGACAGACCAGGTGATGTTTATATGTACCCATAAAGGTGCTGCTCATCTTCAGTTGAAGGGTCAAATCTTCTGACCCTAGCTGGGGAACTAGCTGCTTTCTAGTGTGGATCTGCCCTGGGATGGCTGTGGCCACTGAGAAGCACTGTGGATGAGGGAGTACAGAGCTAGTTCAGCATGCAATGACATCTCACCTCTTCTACAGCCAGCACAGAGTGAGTTCTGGAAGGGGGAGGTGCATGAGTTCTTCCATGTCTGTGAGTCCTGAGTGCCATGGTAATCTCTTCAGAAGCCTGAATGAAACAAAATGGACAGAACAACTGAAGATTTACAGGGGTTATTGAAAGCTTCCTCATATATTTATTGCCTGGGTTTATTTGCCAGAGGGTTCATAAAACAGATCCAAAGCATTTTCATATGTTCTTAGTATTGGTTTTGTTTAGTACTTATGTTTATTTCCCTTTCTTTTGTTTCCAGCTTGCACCTGTTTACTTTTTGTTGTGTTTCTTTTCTAAGCATAAACTTGAAGTTAAATAAGTGCCAGAAAGATCAGTGAGAATTTACAGCAATAAATAGTACATTTTCCAATTGTGTTTAGTATTGCAGTGACAAGGTAGCTTGCATATTTCTACCCTGCTGATAAGAAATTGTGAAAAGCTGCTAAAAGTCTACACTAACTGAAAACATGTCTGTGTTTTCATGCTAGGCATGGACAAATACTTCTCCTCTGCCCCAGGAAGTGCTTTGAAGTCAGTATATCACAGATTCTGGTGCCGTTCTTTCATCATTCTTTTTTCTGCAACAAGTTTTATACAAGAAGTAAAAATAATTTTATAGTCTTTTCAAATTTGAAAATAAATTGCCCTAAAGTATGTACCACCTTGTGGCTAGCAAATACTTTGCCTTGACACAAATGCTATGCAGAAATGTGTCACTACTATTAAAAGGTTAATTAACATTGCAGGATGTTGAATATCTTCTAAGTAAACAAACACAACCATTGCCAGATACATATTGCATTTTTCTTTCAGGAGAATGTACCATTTTGATGCCTTAGGTAGCATGCTGTTTATTTATTAAAACTTATTCCCATACAATTATGTTTAAAACAGAAAACAGACATGAATTGCACAGGAAAACAAAGTAATTTTTAAGGTAAAGCATTATAAAACAAGAGATAAAGCTGCTCCTCAGCTATGAACTCAGACCAGTGTGCTGTATTGTATTTCTTCTGAGCTCTCTACAGTATTCTGGGATACATGTGTATTAGAAGTGAAACAGACAACGCAAACTTGATTTTTTATTTTTGGTTGTTTTGTCTTCAGTCTACACAGAGTACATGGTATTTAACAGCTTCAGAAAAGTCTTAAAATTTAGGCTTCTTTGTATATGGTTTTTGTCTCTAGTGGCATTATCTTATGATCCTGGGTAAGCTGCTATCCTGTCTAAGGCTTGTTTTCTGTACTACAGTAATAAACTGTTTAAGTAGGTGATAGAAAGTCCTTTCTAACTTGAGGAACAGAGGGCTTGAACCATAGTGACTGTAGTATAAAGAGCTGTCACATTCCAGAGCTTGATGTCTCTGTTTTTGTCCTTAGTGGTTAGATGTTCTGTCAATAGGTGGTACTGTTACCAGTTGCCTGCTTTGGCTTCCTTCCACCCCTGTAACCCATAACTTAGGATCTGAATCCTTTTCTGTTGACAATTATCAATTTTCTTTCCTGAACTATACCTTTTTTTTCTTTATAAAAAGCCAAAAGTTATTTAGTTTGGTTTTTTATTTTTAATGTTTTATCTTTATGCTCCTGAAAGAGTCAGAGTTAGTTTCTTAATTTCATTGAAGTTTGTGGAGGAAAAAAAAAAATGTTTTCTAGTTGTATCATTCTGGTATAATTTCCTGGAAAACAGGGGCTAGCACAGGGACTTAGCAGAGTTGTCCATTGGTGTGATTGACTTGAGCATGTACGCAGAACCCACTACATATTGTTTTGTACTTTTTGGGTGGGATGGGCTATGCACTATTATTTTCATTAACCAAGATGTAATCATGTTAGAGAAAATCAGAGCAGAGTTATGATTAAAAATTCATCTCCTTTTATATGTCACATAACTTTTCTTTAAAGCATCTTCTAATTCTTAGGCTGTGGGCCTATTGTTATTAAAACTGTGGTCAAACTGAGGTGGACCAGACTTGGAACATCTTCACTGGGTCCCTTTGTGTGGTCTGCATGCTTTCATGGATTTTATTAAATGTAAACTTCCTTATTTGTATGACAAATTGAAGTTTGAATGGTGCAGAGCAGCTGACAGTCTGCAGGCTGACTTGCTGAAGTTCTTCCTGCTGTCTTGTTCCTATAACTGTGCACAAAGTCAGTTTGAGGTGTTGTGTTTCCCTTAGCTGTGCCCTTGACTAAACTCCTTAACAATCTTGTGCTGGCCTTGGTGGTTAAGATATATTGTGATACATAGTTTTCCTTCTGGTATATTTAGTTACGTGGTAGCCAGTGGTTGTTACATAGTTCTGCTATTCATCCTATATCATCATTAGATAAATGCAGTATGACATACATTAGTTTGGAAGTGTAAGTCATATAGCTGCAAGAAATTTTGGAAGTTATGTATTTGAGCTATGTCCATGGGAGAAGCTTTTGCCACTGTTTTCTATCTTTCATCTAGAGATTACTGTCACTGTAGGGTGTAGGGCATGTATTGCTACAAGGCATTTGGCATGGCTTTATTCTTTTAATGATTTTAGCTGAATTTAGCTATTACATTGCTGAGAGATTATTGAAGATGTGGCAATCTTTCACTTTGCTAAGACAGGTACAATATTTACTAGAAGAGAGGAGACTAAATTAAACTAGACTAGATTAAAAAGAATTTGTGGGTAAATTATCTTGGCAGATGGTAAGACTGTATTTCCACTTCTTTTTTTCACTAAGGCCAGGAAGATAATTTTGGGGAAGCTTTGTGGTTCTGTTATTGTGTACTTTATTTGTGCATGAGCTGCACCTTAATAATGCTCTAATAAAACTTCAGATTAATGATGAAAAAAGAATTTGAACTGGATTTAAAAAAAAAAGCATTAAAAATTCAATTGCTCACATGCTTACCTGGATTTTGTCCTTTCAGCATTAATGATTCAAAAACCAAAATTATTTTTGTCATTAAGATCTGCATATGGTACAACACACATAAGTAGATCTGTGGATTAAGAAATCACCATTTTTGGGTGGTTTACTATTTATTGGGTTTTTTTCTTTTTCCTGAAAGTAAAATAAATATGAAATGAAATTGAGTCTGCAACTTTGCTTATAAACTTCCACAAGAAGAAGAAGCTACTGTACTCTGGATCTGTAGTTGTATTGTATGGATCGGGTCCATCAGATCTGAGACATAGGAAGTCGCTCTATTTGAGTGGGTGTAGGTAGTCTGAATGGTAATTTTGACAAGAGAAAAGCACATCTGTCCTGGAGTCCAGGATAATTTGAGGGAATTGCATTGTATACAAATACTTAATATTTGTAGAGTGTGACGCTGTGTTAACTGACCCAGACCACTGGCAGTTCTGAGAGTTGATTGTACCATCTGATTGTCATCTAAACTTGTGTTTTATAGCTTGAGACAGTTGGATGGCAGCTTAATCTTCAAATGGCAGAGTCAATGCAAGCAAAGCTGAAGTCTCCTCAAGCTGTGCTAGAGCTGGGAGTGAGCAATGAAGATTCAAAGGTAAGAAATATAAATCAGCAGAGCTGGAATGAGTTGTGGTGATGGCCGTGCGTTAAAGTTCTGTTAAAGGCATTAATTGGAACTCTTAATGTTATTATTGTCATTAGTTTTGTTTTTATATTATGAAATATAAGTTACAGTAGATACTTGGAATTGTGAAATACTGATATAATAGCATAAATGTTCAGCAGACTGAGAGCTGTATTACCAGCTCTTTAGGCTGCAACAGGAGAAATCGGGAATATGGTTATTTTAGGTCTCTAAAGTTTTTCTAGATAGCTTATTTTTATCACATAGCATGTGATCGTAGTTCTTATGCTTTTAATACATAGTAGGTTGCAGTCTTCTACCATGTGTGTAGTTATGTAAGACATTGCTCATCACTTGCAACTTTTTTGTGCTAGTGATGTATATAATTGAATACTGACACTATGTGAGGCCACAGAAACTCCGTATTTGGAGGTTTTAAGGTAGAGTCTTAAGTTCAAGGATTTTAGTGACTTGGTGTCATATGAGAACCCAAACTTACTAAAGAAGATAATTTTTTATTCATAAAATCTGTGTCTTTGGTTAGCCAGCATGTTTCAAATTAAACACATGATTTGCTTTTAACTTTATATTGCTAATGGTAATTGGAATTTAGTTCTGTGGTTTGTCTCAGAATGTTTACCTATGTCAGAATGTTTACCTATGAAAAATTCAGTATAAGGAGTTTGAGGGGAGAAATCAGAATTCAGTGCTGCTTTAGCATTGCATTTAATTCAGTAATTTTACTAATGTGAGTGGAATTTCTGATTTATGGTAAAATAAAAGAGAATATACAGCTTGTGTTTGTGCTTCTCACTAAGACTTGCAGCAGTTGTATTTTTTCAGCATTTCATTGCTGCAGCTACAGTAACTGGACAAAATTTTATGCCCAAGCTACATTGGTGAGCATTGAATATAAATTCAGTTCTTATGGCAAAACTATTAAAAATATAGACAGAAAAATGTCACTTTCATGTAAAACAGAAAGTTCTGTTTCTTGTACAAACAGAATTCAGATAGTGGACTTTTTCTACTGTTTCCTCTCTTACTTCTTTTTGTGGGTATGTTTAGATATGAAGATCAGAATTACTTTGAGATAATTACAAGCCTAGAATAAACTTGTGGTGAGCATTTAGATGAAACAATGCAACAAGAAAACTGATGCTCTCATAGTACAGACATCAAAATTTAACAATCTAGGTTGGTGTGAAGGTCACTACAGGATTACATCCTAGTACATAAGATTGACTTATATTTGCTTAGTGTGAGTAATTCTTCTTCTGTATCTTGCATCTTTGTGATCGCTTGATGCATTAAGTATTGTATCTGAAAATTATAGCTACTGGATATATCTTCATTTCCTTTATGAAATTATGTATGTGCCTTTTGTGCAGAAATATGGTGTGAATTTAAAATGTATATTCTTAATGATTGTATTATTTTCTCATTTTTTTCATAATTAATGAATATAATGACTTGATTTTTTTTCAGGAAAGACAAAATGCAGGGGAGCTTTTATAGTCTGGCTCATTAGGGGGCAGTAGTGCTCTTTGTCACCCTGGTTCTTTGTTTTTTTTTTGAGATAATACTCAGAATCAATTCTGAAGTCAGTCATTGTGGGAAGTGTTTAAGTGTTTACATTTCTAATCTGTATATGACAATAGAAGTTTGTCTTGTGTACAGAAAAAAATAAAGTCTATTAATAAAATACTGTACTGAGCAAGGCAAATGAAATGGGCTATTATTTTCACTTTTGCTAACTAAAATTAATTATACTAATGCGTTTGTGTTTACTACAAATCACACTACTTAAAGAACATTTAAACAGTTCTTATTTACAAGATGGCTTCTAAAATTAGTATTTAAATTAATCTCTTCAGGAGAGGTAATCATAAAACCTGTGGCTATATGGATGTTACTTGTGTGTTGAGAAATAAAAAGAAATCTGCTATATGCTATATAAATATTTATAGAGTACATTTTGTCAGCTTCAGATGAAATGCAGAGTCCTAGAGGAGTAAATCCATCATAATGCAAAAGTAAGGTGTTCGTTAGTTCTTTCAGGTGATTCAAGCTGCTAGTGACATTTGCATTTCCCAGGAAATACACTGCTTGTGACTAGCAAGAGTTGTGATCAGAGCTCATGATTTTTATTAAACTGTTTTTACTGGATTTTGTTACATATTGTCTGTTTGCTTATACTCAGACATGGAATTATGCTTGTGTTAGCCCCAGTGTGAGCAGGGGGGTGGATCAGGTGGGCTGCAGGACATGGCTTTCCAGCCCAAGTTGTCCTGTGATCTAGTCTGCTTTGGTTGCTGCTTATGTTTTGTATGACAAAGAGGAAAAAGGAGCTTCCAACTAGAAATCCAATTAACAGTGTTTATTACAATGATTAATTTTTTCAAATGTTTAATTTATCTCAGAATCTGAGGGAAGTGAAATGTCGATGGACTAGACACATGAAACAAACTGATATAATCGGAAGCATATTTTTGATTTGAAAGATTCCTTTGCTTCCATTATGACATTTTGAGGTCTTTAGGTGGCATTTGAGAACTAATGTGTAATTTATCAGCTGTATATAAGGGTTTTTTAATAGTAAATTTGGTTTCAGATTTTTGGACTGTTGATTGCAACATGACAATCTGGAGATTCTGTACAGAGTATCATTATTTTTATGGTCATAGGTTCAATTGACCTCTAGAAGGAACACAAATTAACAATCCTGACAATCTGTGTTGCTAATTTAGATTTTTGATCTGTAAACAAAGACTGATGCCCAAGAGTGCTGTGGTTTTTAGTATTTCTTACCTCCAGTAATCTATCCACATAGACACACACTCTCACATTCCTTCCCACTGTTAATAGCTGTAATTCCTTAGGCTATCTAATCCAGACTTTTTTAAACAACGGTGATGATTTTCTATAATCACAGGAGAAGCCACATAAATAAACAAATAAATAATATCAAAGTGTGTAGAAATATTGAAGACCTCCAGAAATGTCGCACAATTGGTGCTGAATATCTTCACAGAGGAATATGGGAAGTAGGAGTGTGTTCTTAAAGAGTTGTTGCTATTACTCATCATTAAGGTCATCCAGTAAGGCACATTGCTATATAAGGTATTTGTTACTGTGCATTTTCACACATAATCTGTAGTTACCAATTATGCTTGAAAATCGTTAGGATAAATAAATTAGTCTTGCCCAGTGATGTCTCTCAATAGTTATCCAATTTTATTCTGTAAATCTACTCCACAGATTTTATTAGATTCAGTTATCTAATTGCAATTTGTCCTGTGGAAGGCTTTGCTCTTTTCTTGTTTTCCTTCTCCTTATTTAATCTGTGAATTTATTCTTAATCATAAAGTACTTCTTGGGAGAGCTCTGTTTTTCAGTATAAATACTATGTAGAGGTTCCTTGTGAAAAATCAAAATTTTGCTTCTTTTGTTGCTTCTTTATAAATGTATTTGAAGATTTTTTTATGGGATTTTGTCTGCTAATGCAAGACAAAAAGTAACTAATAAATGTGGTGGTTTGTTGAATCTCCTAGTGTAATATTTTTGGTGAAAGACAATATTATTCTGATTTACTTTTATTTCCTTTTAAATAATTTTCCCTAATATCAAGATGCTTTAACAGGGGTTGTTCACCCAGGGGGTGGTTGGGCCCTGGCACACCAGGGAAGTGCCAGTCACAGCACCAGGAAGCTTTTGGACAATGTTCCCAGGCACATCAGGCACATGGTCTGACTCCTGGGCCTCTGAAGGGCCAGGAGTTGGAATTGGACTTTGATGATCATTGTGGGACACTTCTACCTCAGGGTATTCTGTGATTCTGTGAAAATCAAACTGCAGTTTGATTACGTTTGAAACGGAGCTGATACTACATAGTCATCATTCTACAGAGTAAGCAGAAATATAGAAATCTGGAATTATTATATTTTAGTTGTTAAAATAACAGCATATGTGTTGGGTTTTTTTTTCCTGTTTTTTACAGACTTTCCATATATTTCTGGACAGTGAACAAAATTTATATCTTTTTGCTCTATTTACTTCAACAAGTACACCATTCTGCTTTCTGAGTTTGCCATTGTGATTACTTTTCCCCAGCTCTTACAAAAAAAAACAAAGCAAAGTAAATGGGAAATCTTCAATCAGAGCTACATCAGTTACTTAATTCACACTATAGATTCTCTGCAGCCTGTATGGCATGTAGGCAGGACCTGCACATGGATCAGTGTTTAAAAGAAATATGGTGGTACTTCCCCTTCCACCTCAGTTTAGCCCTTTGTTTTGCTCTGAAAAGAATTTGTGTTTGTGGAATGGCACAACAGTGAGAGTTGGTGGATGCTAGTAATATGATCCCACTTCTGCGATGTAGGAGGTGGCAGAATTGTGCATGTTCCCCTTTCATTTGTCATTTCAGTCCTTTGGAGATGATGGACTTTTTTTTTTTCCAAAATAGAGGAGTAATTTTTATCTGTAGGGTGTTCAAAAAGAGGACACTTTAAAGTAATAATGCTGAAAGAACTATGATGAGTTCCAAAGATGAAACAATTGTAAATTGCTTCCCACCTTCATCAGCTCCCTCTCAACCACTTTCGTTTCTGATGAGAACATCGCCCTTTTCCTTCTCAGAGCACAAATAGCCTTGTATGTACACCCTGGAACTGAGCATAGTTTTTTCATCAAGTATATTTTTAAGTCTCTAACAATTCCAAAAAGAAAGTAGGACAGGCCTTGGATGAATTCAAAAATATTTAAGCATTAGATTGAGAGAAAAGGGTTTATTTATTTCTGTTTGGAAGAGTTAACTGGAGACCTGGATAGCCTCAGACAGCACGGTCCTGATTCAAGATTTTTCTGTGCTTCTGAATGGGCAATATTGCTGCTTTTGGCAAGGGGTACATCAGGAAATGAGTTTTATTCTGAGTGTTAAACCCTAATAAATAGTGCTGCTGTTAGGA